CCTGTCACTTGGGTGGACACTGAGGACAGCAACTTGGCTGTGGAGGAGTGCACATTCATCTTCATGTGAACCAGGGGCTTGCTTCCTTCTCCGTCATTTGCTGACCTCCAAGGCCATCGCTGTGGTGCCGCCTTCACTCCCTTTCTTGCCATGCACACCTCATAAGCAGAACAGCACAGACACATTTTGCTTCAAAGGCAAGATGCCAGTGCTTCCGTTCCTGAGTAGGCTCTCGAATGCAGACTCTTTGGAACGAGGTGTATGTGATCGGTACACGAGCCAGCATCTTGTGTGTGATGAGCAGATGTGGCTACATTATTCAGTTTCCCCATTTGCCCTCCTTCAAAACATGTGGTGTTGATGAATGCATCTTCCCACAGTGAAGTCACCGACAGAAGGACTGGCAGTCTGACTCGGACACCCCAAGAAGAGTCTCAGATGTTCTACTTAGACACCGGCCCCGGGTTGGCTTATGAAATCCTCTGTCCTGAATGTCATGGCGTTTGATGTGACTTCAACGCTTTCTCACTAAAGAAAAACTAATCTCCATTTCCAGTGAGACTGTATTGACATGTCACCTTGTGGCAGAAATGTTTGCCCAACTCTACCTTTTATTTCCTTCTCCTGTTCTATCGTGAAATGTGACATTCATGCCTAACACGTACAAATCACACATTAGAGGCTTTTGTTTTTAATTTATTTATTTTTATTGGAAAGGCAGATTTACAGAGAAGTAGACACACAAAAAGAAAGATCTTTCATCTGTTGATCACTCTCCAAATGGCCACAATGGCCAGAGCTGAGCCGATCCAGACAGGAGCCAGAAGCCAGGACTCTTCCGGATCTCCCATGTGAGTGAAGGGACCCAAGGACTTGAGGAATCTTCTGCTGTTACCCCAGGCCACAAGCAGGGAACTGGATGGGAAGTGGAGCGGCAGATATACGAACTGGCACCCATATGGGATGGTGGCACTTGCAGGTGGAGGAGTAGCCTGTAGAGCCACTGCTCTGGCTCCTATAAGTTAGAATTTATAGAAGAGTTATAAGGCAAACATCTGGGTAACCACTTGCTCTGGAGTAACAAGTGCAACACCACCGGCTGCCTTTACAGCTCCGATGTCACCTTTCTCTTTCCTAATGTGACCATGGGCTCACTCCTGTGGTTATGATGTTACTGCTTGTTCTTGGAGCTTGACCACGTGTGTATTCATCCCTCACAATGAGTTCAGTTGGAGCATAGTGAGCTATACAAGGACACTTCAGCCACCTCGTGCTGTCCCCAGTCCCGTTCTTCCTGTGAGTGTAGCTTTGCTTGCTTTTCTTTACCAGTTGTATTCTTCCATCAGCAAGAATTTACCATTGTTTATGTGTGGCTTATACGGGTGGGTATTTGACTCTTTCTGGTTATGATGGTTTTAAGGCTCATGTAGATGTCCTTATACATACATATCTCTGAAATATAGATGCACAGACACTGTAGGATATATACCAAAGAAGGCTTTTCTATTATTTCATAAAAGTGATGTTTGAAATTCCTCCTTTACAGTTAATGATAAAATATACTAATCCAATATAAGCATGATTTAGTTCCAAACTTTAATATTTTAGACATAATGGAAAGCACTGTTCATTTTCATATCTGTCAGTTCTACACAAGCTTTACCGATGGGATGAGCAGACAAGATTTTCCTTTAGGGTAGAATGCTTTGTTCTCAAATGCTGGCACTGGGGACTAATTCTGCTAAGCAAAACTGCAGAACCACCTGAAGAGTGCAAGATCCGAGAGTGTGAGTGGGCACCTCCCTCTTGGGTTACCACTCTCACTGGTGAGCACGGAAACCAGGATTAGGGGCAGGCATGGCTAGACAGGCAGCAGCACCCACTGGCACCAGTGTGGACTGGATAGTAGGGTTGGACGCCCATTGACATGCACGACAGCTGAATGGGCTGTGGCACAGACTAGGCCAGTATACTGTACATACTGGCAAGCATGGAAACCAGGGCGGAGATGGGCCTGGTGGGGGTTATTGTGGATCACCCCAACTAGGCTGCATCTCCCACTGGTTTGTGTGAGGGCTGAATGTGTGGTGGGCAGGACTGGGCTGGGCTGCAACACCCATTGATTTGCATAGAAGACAAGGCTGGAGACAGAATTGACCTAGCAATTGCAATCAACAGTGTGTGTATAGGCTGATTGGGGTGACAGATTGTGCTGGACCCTGTATTGGCAAAGCACACACAAGAATCAGGTCTGAGATCACCTCAGGTAAAGTTTCTTTAGGAATTTCCCTAATTGAACTGCTAGACGCAGAACTCCAACCATGGAGGAAATTGCAGGTTCCATGGTCTGACCATGGAATGTATGTGTCAGAGCTGGCCTCTTCAGTGGCTTAGATGGAGCAATGCACATGATAGCCAGTTACACATGGAGGATATGCCGGTACGTTGGAACCTGCAGAAGACACCTGGTACCACAACAGAGGATGGAGGACAGAGCAAATTGATCAACTACCCCAGCCAGGTGTTGGCAGTGAAAATCTGGGCAAATGGAGACTCAAAGGTGAATTATGTCAACCAGTGGATTTTGGAGAGATTTCATAGGACTTGGAATGGTGAGATTAACAGCAACTCAGAACTGTTGAAATATCAAAACCACTTCAGGACCCTCGGAGCACACTGCATATTGAGGACCCTGGGATGGTTGAGAGGGTGGGTGTGGCTTCTCCCTTTATCTTTCCCTTCCCCCAGGTACAGGAAGGAAAAAAGAGAATGTGGAAATAATGGTTTTACCCACTTTCCTATAGTCCTTGACTCTTTGTGCCCTTATCAACTATGTAAAGATAATTTAAAAAATGATTTATTGGAAAGGGACAGGGATGGAAAGAGAAATTAGAGACAGAAAGTATATTTTCCATCCACTGGTTCATTCCTCAAATGTCCAACAAGTGGGGCTGGGCCAGGCCAAAGTCAGAAGCCTGGAACTTAGTCGGTCCCCCACACGGACTGCAGGCCAAGTACATGAGACATCATCACGTGCTGTCTCCCAGGGTGCACATTAGTGTGAATTAGAGCCACATTTCAAGGCCAGGCTCTCTGACATGGGATGCAGTGAGGGCCTCATCTCCCGGCTGAGTGCCTGAGCTAGGCTTTTCTTCAGGGCCTTCGTTTCCCACAGCCGGCTTTGCCCTGCTACAGGGAAGGGCAGGTGGATTATGCGTTGGATATAGCTGAAGCTCTGTGTATCTCAGGCTAGGCTGCTCAACCTGCACAGAACGCTGCTGCTTTCTGAACTCCCCAAAATATAGACCCAATGCAGAGCCACAGTGAAGATCCACTTCCGGCATCTGCTTAGCGGTGGAATTATTGGGCAGAACACCACTATTTCACTTCTAGGAGGACAGTTTGAGCTTCCATCCCTAATGGTGTCTCCGTTAAGGCTGCTACAAACAAATGGCCAGAGACTGCACAGTTTGAACAACAAGCATTAATTCCTCCCAGTGCTGTAGCTTGGGACATCGAAGCTGTAGGCACTGGGTGCCAGCTCTCTTCCCAGGTGCTGATGGCCTTATCTGGGGTGATCCTAAACATTTCCTGTTGTTTTCCATGCAGCAGAGAGCTCTGGGCTCTTGGCCTCACCATGAGAGCACCAGTCCCATTCACGAGGGCTCCTCCTTCAGGACCTAGTTGCTGCTATGAAGTCAGGTTTCAGGATATGAATTTTAACAGGACACAAACATTCAACCCAAAGCAAACTTTTTGAGATATCCTAAGTTTTCCGTTAGCAATTGTTGCTAATATTAGCAAAAAAAAAAAACAATTAAAAAAAAAGACATTTGCATTTCTTCAGTTAGTAAATTAGGTATTAAAACTGCTAACCTTTTGGCTTTTATTACTATCACTAGTAATTTTAACAGAATGCTATGTGTTTGCCCTGATGTGCATAATTTATATGATAAAATTATTAGAATTTTTACTGAGCTATGGTGTCTTGAAGAATGTGTACTTTAGGGCCTGACATGATAGCCTAGTGGCTCAGGTCCTCGCCTGGGACTCCCTATGGGTGCCGGTTCGTGTCCCGGATGCTCTACTTCCTTTCCAGCTACCTGCTTGTGCCTGGGAAAGCAGACCCTGCACCCGTGTGGGAGACCTGAAAGAAGCTCTTAGCTCCTGGCTTTGGATTGGCTCATTTTTGGTTGTTGTAGCCACTTGGGGAGTTAACCAGGAGAGGGAAGATCTTTCTCTCTGTCTCGCCTCTCCATAAATCTGCCTTTCCAATAAAAGCAAATATTTTTTAAAAAGAGAATGTGCACTTTGATACATACAATTGATGGTTAATTAAAATTTTCTTTGAAGGACTAGTTAGGTAAGAACTGTGTTTCCAGCATGGTTTAAAAACAGACCAGGATAAACTAGCAAGAGAATATAAGAAAGTTTTGTTATTTTAAAGATTGGTTTATTTATTAGAAAGACAGAGGTATGAGCGGAAAGGTTGAGAAAGATCCGCTACCCACTGACTCACTCTCTGAATGGTCTCAGTGGCTAGAGGTGGGCAAGATGGGCTAGATCTTATCCAGGAACCAGGAGCTGCTTCCAGCCCTCCCAGCACTTGGGCCATCTTCTGCTGCTTCCCTAGGCACGTGAGCAGGAAGCTGGGTATCAAGCAGAGCAGCCAGGATTAAACAGGTACAGATATAAATGCTGGAGTTTTAGGCAGTGGCTTAACCGCTGTGCCACAATACCAGTCCCAGCCTATAGGAAATTTGACATCATTGTAAAGGACACTGCAAATCAAAACAATGCATCATTTGTAGCTAATTGCATTTGTTAACATTTGAACAGACAAGTTAAGAAATTTATAGTTGTGATAATACTTGAAAATAGTTAGATCAAACAGTTTTAAGAAGTCAAGTTTCCTCCACATAAACCTAAATTGTGTTTCTACAGTTTTATGCAAGATCATCTATGCAGTTCTGGTTTCTGAAGAAGACAACCATTCCGGGTGAGGAGTAATTGTATTTTTATTTATTCTTAACCCTGGGTCCTGACAAGAGCTCATCTGATCTATGGCTTCGTCATCTTCAGGTTTACTTCGCACCTCACGAAGTTTTTCTCCTGGGTGGGGTGAAGCTGCAGATCCTCCATGTTTTCTGAGCAGAATGTCATTCTGAAGAGAGAATGTGAAACAGACACAGCATCAAGGCTTAGATGGGACTCACTGGAGCATTCAACCTTCACCAATGCCTGCTCAGTTTGTCATGCGTGGGTTGTACATTTTCACATTAGATGCTTATGTTTGCAAATATTTTTATAAGAGAAAAGAGAAAAACAAAAACAAAAGGCAAGTTCGTAGACGCCATCAATGGGAGGCTTCCTGGGCCTGGGCACCGGAAGGATTGTGGTGCTGGGGTGGGGATAGCAGAGTGAGCGTGGGCAGTTCCTTTGTTCTCCCAAAGGGCTCATCAAAGAGGCCACTGTAGTTTCTTTCACTACATTACCCTGGTTCCAGGGCAAATGTTCCTCAAATACTCCCCACCAGAGTGTTTACCTCGATGCTGTCCTGCTTTGGATGTTTCCAATCAGCCTTGCTGGGGCCCAGTCCTGTAAGCCCCTTCCCTTGCCCTTATTGAGGCTGCTGATGCCCAGGAAAATGCTATGTATTCTGGGTCTCTTGAAAATCAGCTGCTCAGCACCCAAATGTGCATCCTAAAACAAGATGTGGGGTGGGCCGAGCTGCAACTGGAAGGGGGAAGACTGGGTGGGACTGAGCAAACCTTAACTCACAAGGAAGAACAGAAATCAGGATGGAGCACAGGTTATGCCGAGCTAGGCTCTTACACCAACTGGTTTGCATGAGCCAGGGATACTACGCCACAGCATTGAAGGCAAAGGCTGAGATAGGTGAGGGGCTAAGCCAACTGGGTCAGAGCAATCACTGGCATGCATGTAATAGAGCTGGGAATAGGCCCGGTTGGGGAGCTGTGAGAGTACACCCTTGCTGGGTTAGGGTTCCCACTGGTGAGTGTGGAGGCCGTAGTAGGGGTCTGCATTTTAGTACAGATATGGCTGCAGTCTCCCTTGGCACAAGTGTGAACTGGGGCTAGGCACACCTAACTGGGTTAGACTCCAGCACCATCTGGTGCCCTAGAGGACCTGGGTAGATGTAGGTGGACCAGGCTGGGTCTCAGCCCCTACTGAACCATGTGTAAGCAGTGTCTGGGTATGGATGAGGTTTGGCTGGGCTGAAGCATCCAATAGTAAGAACTGGAATGGATTGAAGGCTGGTCATGAAAGGCCACTGTTCCTGCTAGGACAGGAGGTGGACTAAGTAGGGCTGGCCCATGGACCCACCAGTATGCACGAGATCTGGCACAGGGAGAGGTTCTGATGGAGGAGCTTGGGCAACACCTCTGGCAGGACACAGTTCCTGCAGGTGAGTGCAAGAACCATGTTAGGGAGCAACTCATACCAGGCCAGGGAAAGGTAACCAGTGGCATATATTTGGCATAGGTCGGGGGTAGACCAGGCTGAATGAGTTCACATCACCCGCTGGCAAATCTAGGCACCAGAATAGAGTGTGGGTTGGACCAGGTTCAGTAGCAACTAATACCAGTGCACACTACAGAATGCCAAGGTGAGGTGAGCCATACCACATGTGACTGCAGCGCCCAACCAGCACATGTGAGAACTAGGAAGGGAAGGGGCAAAGCTGGCAGGGGGAATATGGGCTCCCCTGTTGGACAACCACTCCCACTGGAGAGCATGAGTTGGGATGGGGGCAGACCAGAGCAGGCAGGGCTGCAGCATCTGTGGGCTTCATGTCAGCTAGAACAGGGAAAAGCCAGGTTGGGCTGACTGTTCCTACCGGTACAAGCATAAATTAAAGTGGGTGAGGGTTGGTTGGGCTTTGCTGCAGCATCAGCTGGCAGAGGCTGGCACTGAGGGCTAAATCTGTCAAGTTAAACTCCAGAACCACTTAGTGCATAATCCGGGAGTGGGAGTGGTCTAGTAGGGAAACAGTGGGCACCTCCCTCTTGGGTTACCGCTCCCACAGGACAGCATGAAAACCAGGACTGGGGCATGGGCGGCTAGACAGAAAGGCAGTAAGTGTGTGGGTTGGATATTGGGGTAAGTTGGGTTGAACTAGGCTTCAATGCCCATTGACATGTATGAGAGCTAAATGGGATGTGGGACAGACTGGACTTGTCCGCTGTACATACTGGCAAACCAGGGTAGGGGTGGGCCTGGTGAGGGTTATTGTGGGTCCCTCTGACTAGGCTGCAGCTCCCACTGGTTTATGTGAGGACCAAGTGTGTACTGGGCAGAACCAGGCTAGACTGCAACACCCATTGGTTCGTGTGGAAGATAGGGCTGGAAACAGAACTGACCCAACAATTGCAACAACCAGCATGTGCATGAGCTGATTGGGGTGACGGACTGTGCTGGTCCCTGTCCAGGCAAGCATATGCAAGAATCAGGTCTGGGATCACCTCAGACGAAGTTTCTCCGGGGATCCCTCCAACTGAACTGCTGATCTCAGAACTCCAACCATGAAGAGCCTATGTCAGCCAGTGGATTCTGAAGAGATTTCATCGTGCTTGGAATGGCAAGATTGGCAGCAATTCAGAACTGTTGAACTATCAAAACTGCTTGAGCAGGACTCTCAGAGCATGCTCCACATCGGGGACCTGGGTTGGGTGGGAGGCTGGGTGAGGCTTCTCCCTTTGTTTCTCCCCTGACCCCAGATACAGGGGAAAAATATTAGTGTGGAAACAATGGTATTAAAACCACTTTTCTGTAGCCATTGACCGTTTGTGTCCTAATCAATTACGTAAGATTATAAAAAAGAAAAAGAAAAAAGAAAACCAGCTGCTGGGCTGCCTGGACCATGAGTTGCCATTTGGTGCTATTAAAAATCTTTTTGATGTTACGATTTATTTAATCTGAGACAAAGAGAATGACTTTCACTTCCCAAATGCCTAGAAATGGGGCACTCAATCTGGGTCTCCTCTGTGGGTGTCAGCCAAGTACTTCAGCCATCACCTGCTGCCTTTCAGGGCCTGCCTTAGCAGGAAGATGGAATTGGAAACAGAGTCAGGACTCAAACTCAGGCATTCCAATACAAGATCAGCCATCCCAGGCAGAACAGGGGCTTACTCCGTGGCACCTGCACATCTCCCTTCTATTTTAGGTGGTTCACTTTGCTTGCATCCAATATCACACACATACGCAAGTGTACCAGTGGTCACACAGAACTCCAGCTTATGGCTTCTTTGTTCTTTGAATTGCACCTAGTACAAGTCTTTACTAAGTCAGAATTACAGATCTAAAAAGAGATAAGAGGAACTGGTGAACACATGATAAAGAGCTAGCAAGCCAATTACAAAAGGCTTTCTTCACAGTCACTCTTCACCAACACCCCTTTCTTTCCCTAACTCTCCTGGCTTGTTGAATGTCCTTCTAGACCGATTGCTATGCATTTGCATAGATGCCAATGTTCATACAAAACAGCCATGGAATATTTTTTCAATAGAAGTGGGGTTGTATTGTATGTACCTTCCCACAATTTCTCCTTGTCACCAAACTAAATTACTTGGTGAACTCTTCGGTCATCACACCGGTGTCTACTCCATTCTTTCTCACCAGCTGTGACTTCACCTTGTATGGGTGCATCCAATGCATTTTCTCATTGATGGACATCAAGGCTTCCCCAGTGGTTTGCTATTTAGAAACAGCACCACCACAGGAATTTCTGAGCATATGTATCTTTTGTGTATGTTTTGAGCATGTATATAGATACCCCAGAAATGCTATTGGGGTCAAAACGAATGGAAGAAGGAACTGTTGGAAACAGTTCCCAGGCACTACATCAGACAAAGCCAAGGCAGGTGTGGGCTTAAACAACAATTTGCAATGTCCCTGGGCCATGTAACTTCTATGAGCATCAGGTCCCTCACCTGTTCCACCCTTAGTACCCATTTCAGAGACACAGCAAAGGCTACGGGAGAGTAAACATGAGGGAGCAGTTAGGTAAGTGGCCACCACGTCCTGCATCCCTCTAGGTGTGCTTTTCTTCCCTTTCCTCGTCCTTCCTTCTGAGCCCTGTATGTGCGCACTGTGGAATGGGTCGTTTGCTTCCTCCTTGCAGGTCAAGTGCCACAGAATTGTCATGGTGGGTTATTCCACCACTGTGGAATTCCTCTCTGCTGAGAGAAGGCGGGGAGCGAAGGGACTCAGAAGTGGTGCCGTTCTCAGGGACCAAGAAGTCAGGCAAGAAGAGGAGTTTAATTTTCTCAGATTGATCATGTGGCGGGATCTGTTGGCAGGCTGCAGAGTATGCGCCTCATAATTGCCAGCAGTTTGCATCCCAGGGAGATGAAATCTCACAGTGCGGTTGTAGAAGGAACACAGGGGCATAAATCTGCCACAGGCTGGCAGTGAAACCTAAGCGGCCCTGGGGGTCGGGGGAGAGTGGTTCAGAGGTCAGGAGTTTGCTGTCTTCCATTTCTACTGAGGACGAGCCGAAGAGAGACATGGGTTTCCCAGCAGAGGAAGGTATGAGAGGAGAGATGAGCCTCTTGAATACGGGGTGTGGGGGGTGGTGGGAGGGTGGAGACAGAAAAGGGCCTGGGAAGCACAGAATTTGCAGATCACCAAGAACTCCTGAGAAGTGTGGTTGCTATGGTAAGATGTGCTGGGCATTCCCCCTTGCAAACCGCACCCCGCTAACTCTGCTGAGAAACTGTAGGGCCAGCTGGACCTTCATTCCTCTTCTTTACTCCCTGCTCTACGCTGCCAGCCCCTTTTGTCTCCAAGGGTCAGGAGACAGGATCAGTCACATAGGGCAGCATTTTTCAAGAGTAATCTATATTGGTCCACATCTGAAGGACTTAGGGATCTTGTCAAAACAACAACAACAAGGCAACCCTGAACCACAAGTGTTGCAGTGGATCCAGTAATTTGCACATTTTATGAGCTTCTGGTGATTCTTTGGCCTCCAAGATCTGAAAGGCAGCACCATGGGAAGAGGTAAGGTCTTGGAGTCTGTGATCTGTTCAATGCATTCCTCCGGGTAAACAGTGAAAACGAAATGTTGCACCTGCAATCAGTGCCTATTGTGACTTAACTGCACTGTGAAGTTTGAGAAGCTTCCAGAGAATGAGGCCAGTAGATGGGAGCCATGGGCAGTGTGAGAGGCTGGGTGGGGATTCAGAGAGAGACCTAGGTGCAAAACCTGTCCCAACAACCACATCTGCATGAACTTGGGAAGGGTACTTCACCTTTTGGAGCATCTATGCTCCATCACTGGGGCATCATAACATCCAGTTCACCTGACACATGAAACTGCCTGCCACACACAGCTGCTTAATGTGAGGTTACTTCAGAGATCTCATGGAAACTGGAATTAAAAGTTGATCTTGGGCCCGGCGCGGAGGCGCAGTGGTTAAGGTCCTCACCTTGCACGCCTGGGATCCCATATGGGCGCCGGTTCTATCCCGGCAGCCCCGCTTCCCTTCCAGCTCCCTGCCTGTGGCCCGGGAAAGCAGTCGAGGACAGCCCAAGGCTTTGGGACCCTGCACCCGCGTGGGAGACCTGGAAGAGGCTCCTGGCTTCCTATCGGCCGTTGTGCTCACTTGGGGAGTGAATCATCGGACGGATCTTCCTCTCTGTCTCTCCTCTCTGTATATCTGCCTTTCCAATAAAAAAAAAATAATAATAATAAAAATAAATCTTAAAAAAAAGTTGATCTTGGTGCAAATATCTGAAATTTATGTATATGAGGGGGGTCTTCAGAAACATTGCAACTATTTGTTGCAGCTGAGGTTGTCACACAGTGTCTTAAGCTGCCTCTGTGATGCTGCCATCCCATGTTGGAGCACCTGTGCAAATGCTTGGGCACCTGCCACCCATGTGAGAGACCCAGCAGGGCCACTGCAGCGATTTGATGAGTGAACCAGCAGATGGGAGACCTCTCTTCCCCTCTTTCATTGTCACTTTACCTGCCAAATAAATGTAACTTTTAAGAAAAAGTTCACACAAAAAGTGCATGTTGCGAAATAGAAAAATCTGCATGAATTTCAAAATCTGTTTTTGGCACCAGAACTAACTTCTCCTTTTAATCTCCTGTTCCCATGAGCTATTCGAAGCCCCCTGGTGGGTGCTGGGAGGGGACTGGTGCCTCCATTACCTTTGCTGGCTTTCTCCGGCTTTCACTCTGATGGTCTTCAGGATGAGGCCCGAGTAGTGGGGCTTTGTGCCCCAGGGGATGATGGTCTGCACTGTGTTCCAGACATTGGCCCACACAGCACTGTTTTCCCACTTGAACTTGATAAGGGTCAGCTCACCAATATCCAAATCCAACGTGATCAGAAAGGAGTAGGTCTTATTGGTAATGATTCCTTCGCCCCTTGAAGACACAAATGAAAACACAGGCTATTAACCGAATTTGAATGGCAAAGTCGCGGCGAGGCGTATTTGGGATGTGTTGAGTCAGCCTGGGTGATGTGCAATGGGATATGTGGCTGCGTTTCCTAAACTGGTGTTCCATGGACCATTCAGGGTGGTAAGGGGTGTGCCAGGATGACAAGGGCTTTCCTGACAACAGAGTGGGGAAAGGCACTGTTTTCTGTGCTGGCATATTAAGAAATCTCCTTCTCTCATGAGTCTAGTTTACTTGCTTTAGTGTAGGTTGCTTCTTCCTTGTTCGTGGGAGGAAGCCCTGGGAGGAGATGCTGGGCTGTTGGCAGTGGCCTCTGCATAGCTCAGCTCTCTCGCAGGTTTGACTAACACACTCTGCCCACGACAGTTTTCTCTTCTAGCTGATGCTCTCCCTTCCCCCACCTTGTAGAAACAGAAGCTTCTAATAAAACAAAGCCTAACATTAACTGAAAAAAAAAAAAAAGCACACACACAGAAAAGAAGGCCCCCACTTTGGGCGAGATTTCAAGGCAAGCTCCGAGGTATCATTATCACTTTTACTCACTAATCTCTAAGACAGTAAAATCTTTTTTTCTCCATTTTTATTATATTTTTGACAATCTTTACATAGTTAATTAGGGCATAAAGGTTCAAAGGCTACTGGAAAGTAGGTAAGACTATCATTTCCACACATTTTTTTTCTATGTCTGGGGTAAGAGGGAGATCAAGGAAGAAGCCCCACCCAGCCTTCCACCCAGCCCAGGTCCTTGATGTGGGGCATGCTCTGGGGGTCTTGCTGAAGTGGTTTTGATAGTTCAACAGTTCTGAATTGCTACCACTCTTGCCATTTCAAGCACGAAGAAATCACTGCAGAACCCACTGGTTGATGTAGTCCATCTTAGAGTCTCAGTTTGCCAACATATGGCTGGGGTAGTTGATTGATTTGTTCTGTGCTCTGTCTTTTCATGGTTAGGGATCTGAGTCTGGCAGTTCAATTGAGGGGATCCCTAGTGAAACTTTGTCTGAGGTGAAATCTCTCAACATTGTTGGAGCAGCAAGGCATCCTTGCCACTACTGAGAACAAGCCCCTGGGGAAACATTCCAGCAGGTGCAGAGGTGATACTGGGTTTAGAATGAGGCAATGGGCAGAGGGCTGCCTGGCACAGTTCCTCTCAGCTCTGCCAGCACTGTGGTGTGGGACCCACACACTCGGCCAGGTTGTGAGCATCCTAAGGATACGGTCTTCTCTCCCACTTGTACAAAGAATGAACAAATATTTGCTGAATGACCAAAGCAGGGTGATAAGCAGAGACCTGAAGCTGGGGGCAGCCTTCAGGAGGCAGCAAGAACTGGGCTGGGGGAAGGGCTAGCATCACTTCCTGGTGGGGAGTGAGTGTCAAGATGCTAGGGAAAAACACTCAGTGAAGCTGGGGTCCCTGGAGGAAGGTGAGGTGTTGGGAAGCATATTAATCTGCTGGCTGGGGTAGGAAGCAGGTGTGTAAGAGGGGGAAGCACAGATGGGGAGGACTGGTCCTGCAAGCTGGCTGAGATCGGAGGTTTGTGCCAAGACAGACGGTCAGACCCAGTTTTATTTCTGGGTTGTGGTTTTCAGAATTCCCAGGAAAGGGGCTCGGGGACTTCTTGGGGACACCAACTCTGCCTCCCACCTGGCACTGCAGACCCTGTTGGGGCCAACGCTGGCTTCTCTCTGTGCTCAGCTATACCGCCCATGCTGGTGTATCTCACTGGCTGGTTGTAGTAGCTGGGACTTGCTGAGTCTGAGAAGAGGCAAGGCCTGTGTGCATGTCCTATTGGATGCGGAGGTTTGGAGACATCCATAGCTGGATGCAAAAGATAGCAAATGCTTGGTCAGATCCATCCAGACCCTGGGAGAAATAAGGGTGTCAGCACCCCAAGCAGGGTCCACGTCACATACTCACAGGGTGATGGGGATTTTCTGCTTTTCCTGTTTTGTTCCAAGAAGGGACATTGTGAAAGTCGGTTCTACTGGCTTCTCAATTTGATTGATGAACTGAATCTTGAACTGGTAATGATAAACTGGGAGTGGGGGTAGGGGTGAGGAGGTTGGAGAAGAGATAAAATGAGATACACAGAAAATATTTAAGCAGAAATTTTAAGATGAAATTATCATATGTTTTAAATATCAAAAATAGTAGACTAAACCTCAGCCTGTGGTGCCAACATCCCATATGCATGCTTGTTCAAGTACTGATTGTTTCTCTTTGAATTCAGCTCCCTGATAGTATACTTGGGAGAGCAGCAAAAGATAGCCCAAGACCCTGGGTCCCAGAACCCACATGGCAGACTCATGGAAGCTCCTGGCTCCTGGTTTTGAACTGGCCCAGCTCTAGCCATAAAAGCCATTTGGGGAGTGAATCAATAGATGGAAGACCTGTCTCTTTCTCTCTGTCTCTCTCCTTTTCTCCTGTAAAATCTACTGTTCAAGTAAAAATAAATAAATCTTTAAAAAAGAAGAAGAAAAATTCAGATGGATAGATACCTGAGACCATGACCAAGTCCTTGAGACCAGGTCCAAGGGTGTCTGCCTTGAGCAATGGCTAAGGGATTGATAAGCAATTTGTCCTGCCTTTGCCTTTCCTGTTCTATACAGCAATCGATGCACTACAATCCTAACAGGGTGCCTGGGTCTTAGTTGGTGCTTAATAGACTTTTGTGGAATGAATGAACCGATAGTTTGCTTGGGAGTGGTGTGTTAGTAGGCAGTGACACCTAGCAAGTCACTTCTGAGAACTTAAGACCTGAGCTTCCATCTGGGTCTCCCACATGGGTGAAAGGGACTTGAGCCATCACTTGCTGCCTCCCAGGCACATTAGGAGGAAGTTGGATCAGAAGAGGTGAGACTTGAACCAGGCACTCTGGTATAGGTACTGGACATTCCCAAAGGATATCTTAACTGCTGTACAACCAGTTTTAAACTCAGTTGGATGTGACACACGTTTGTTTTTGAAAGTACACTGTGTGCTTAGCCTAGTGTTGAACACTGTTGGAAATGAATGAGAAATCAATGGTATAATTGGTAGTTTGCATGATACCAGTATCAGTTAATATGTATTTTGCTTTTTACCAGGTCCTTTGCATATATTATCTCCACTAAGTCTCACAGCAAGTTCCATTGTTATTATTTCATGTTAAAGAGAAGCAAACAGAAGCAAGGAGCTAGGTGCTGATTTTGCCAGGATCATACGGCCGGGAAGTACCTGACTGGGACAGAGACCCAGGCAGCCTGGCTCCAGACCCTGGACTTGTCAACGTTTATACCTGGAACCAATAGCTTTATGTGCCCAAAGGAAAGAGATTAGGGGCAAAAAGATCACAAGAAGTAGTTATTTATAAATAACTGGAGAGGGGAGTACTTAAGATGCCACTTGGGCTCTTGCATCCTTTATTGGAGACTTTGGGTTATGGTCATAGTTACTCCCAGTTTCCTGATAATGGGTACCGGGAGAGGCAGCACTGGTGACCCAGTCCTTGGGTTCCTGCCACCCACATGGAGGACGCTGATGGAGTTCCTGGCTCCGGATTTTAGGCTAGGGAATCAATCAGTAGGTGGAAGAATTCTCTGTCTCTCTGCCTTCCAAATAAGATGGAAAATCAAAACAAACACCCAAAAGCTGGAAACATCCTACATTTTTAAATACTAGAGGCATGACTATAGACTAATAATGACAGGATAACTACTGTTTAATCCTGTATGATGTCCTAGACACCAAGCTAATTGTTTCACATAATTATCTCATTTCTCTTTAGAACAACTTTACAAGATGTGTACTTAATCTGCACTCCCTCATCAGTTCACAAATGAAGAAGCTGAGGCTCAGAGAAAAAAATGAAGTCCCTTATCCATTGCCATTGTGGCTAATCACCAGTGAAGCTGCAATTAGAAATTGGTCCGCTGATTCTGAGTTGTATCCCCAATCATTTGGTTTACTCTCAATGAAGCATTAAGATATTGTTAGAATGACTTCAAGACTTATGAAAAAAAATGTGAAGAATGTGTAGAAACATGTGTAGGGGCATATGTGGGAGAGCTTATTTTGGTAATTGCAGTTGAATGTGAAAGTCCAGCCAAAGTGGGCGTTTGATTAGGATGTCCTTTGGTATGCCAGTGTCCTATACTGGAGAGCCCTGAGTTCAAGTTCTTACCCCCCTGCTTCGGATTTAGCTTCCTGCCAATGCACACCCTGGTAGGCAGCAGATGATGGCTCTCTACCACCCGCATGGGAGACTAGGATAGAGGCTCCGGCTCCTGGATGCAGTCTGGCCCAGCCTCGGTGGCTGTGAGCATTTGGGATGTGTGCCAGCAGATGAAGACCTCTTTCTGCCTATCTTTCTGTCTGTGTCTCTCTGCCCTTCAAGTAAATAAAACAAAGATTAAACAGCAGTACAGCCTTATGTATGTGATGCCAAGTTGTCATGTGCATGACTGTGAGTGATTTATTGTTGACTGCTTGGAGTAAAAGCACGCACGAGTGTGTGTGTGTGTGTGTGTGTGTGTGTGTATGTAAATTGGTCATGTACATGCACTACAGCTATCGGCTACTTGTATGATGCATGCTTCATGCGGGCTCAGTACCTAGGGGTGCAATCCACTCTGTCACCTGCTACCTTGAGCAGGCATGGCTTCTCTGGAGCAGTCTCCCTGTTTGGCATGTGAGGATCTGGAGCTGTCTCAGAGTTGTGGGGAGAAGGTGGTGAGAGGGTTGTATACAGGCACCTGTCTTCCTGCAGGTGTGTATCCAGCATCACCTATCCCCTTTCTCCAGGTTGTACTGACCAGATAAGGTTTTGAGATCCACCTGCTGGTGGATGGCTCATGGATGGTTCATCTTTGTAGCTGTTCTAGGTCAAGGTCACATCAAGTGATTGGCAGGAAAACCAAAATTCTTGATGCTCCTTGTGCCAAAAGAAAGCGTGTGCTCCTACTGTGCCCACTGTTTATTCGGGAATTCTCTCTGCCAATCAGTGAAAACCTCCCAGAGAAGAATCTGAGAAAAGCCAAGTCAGCCAGTTTCCCCAGGTACCAGTTTGCTGAGTGATCTACCAGCCAGCAGGATCACACCCTCTCCTGGGCAGGATGAGAGGCTGGGCAACAGGAGCTACTGCTTCCCCAGCTGACTGAGGCCCCGGTGCAGACAGTGCAGGCAGAGGGAGAGCAGGGCAAGAGCCAGAGGAGCCAGAGCAGAAAGAGGGAGGGATGGGGGGGTGCCCACAGCTGGAGTGGCTTTGGAGGAAGAGGCCAACTTGGCTCTGCACCAAGGCGCCCACATCTGGGAAAAGAGCAGGGCTGTGGGATCTGAGTGAGGTTTGATTAAATACTGTGTGTGTGTATGCGTTGTTGGTGGGGTGTGGATGTCTGGCACAGTGGGTAAGACCTGACTTGGGATACCTACATCCCATATTAGAGTGTTTGGGTTGAAATTTCAACTCCACTCCTGATTCCAGCTTCCTGCTAATGCACACATTGGGAGACAGCAAGGGATGCTTTAGGTAGCTGGTTCCCCACTACCAACATGGCAGGCTTGGCTTGAATTCTTAGCTCCAGACTTTGGTGTGGCCCAGCCCTGGTTTTTGGAGGTCTTTGGTGAATGAACCAGCAGATAGAAGATCTTGGGCTGTCCTTTGTCTTTCAAACAAACAAACAATCAAACACAAATATACTGTATTTGCCACTCACAAGTTGTGCAGCCTTGGCAAGATGATCCAGCCTCTATGAATCTCACTGTGTCATTGCGACATTAAGCACCTAGACCTTGACTCCGTCTCTATCAGTTGTTAGGAGGATGAAATAACTGAGCTAGTTGGCCAACACAGCCTACATCACCCCCAGGCAGGAAGTCCTGTCCCACTCCCCCTTCACTAAATGCCACCAGTCTGACTTTCACCCACTTAACTCCTCCCATTGCTTGAACATCAAATTAGCTGCTTTGCTTGCTGAACAGGATGGACTTGATTCAAATCCCGACTCCCTTCAGCGCAAGTTCCTGAGCTGGTCAAGACTACTCCTGAGTGAGGGTGGATGAAAATGGTCAGTAAATTGCCTCGTTCTACTCAGCTACTGTTTCCTGGTTCTCTTTTGCTACTGTAGTACTCTTGTGGCATATGGACAGTGGTAGAAAATGGATCCTTTGATGGTTTTGGTGAAGTATCTTGGGAGCCAGGAGAATGTGAGACAAGTCAGCCATCCTCTGTGAAACCATAGCCAGGAGTTTGTTTTGCCCAGCCAGACCCTGCACTAAATAGAAAGTACAATTAAATGGCCTTGAAAACTATGGGTTATGGGTTCTCAGGATGCTAGGGTTGAACAAGATGATTTTTAAAAGAATCCTCATGTATTCATTGAAACGCTGGAGGTGGCCAGGGAAATGGATATTGAGGCCTCAAACCATGATGCGCAGAGAATAGGGTGGTTATGGCGGCCTGGGTGAAGGGTTCCCACAAGGACAGCAGTGCTGTATTTTTGTGCTCTCTGCTATGACAACCACATACTGGAACCCTTTAAAGGTGGCTTGTGTGACTGAGGAGCCACAGTTTTGGTTTTATTCAAGGGAATCTAAATTTGTATAAAATTGCCACCTGTGGTCAGCGGTCACCCTATTGGATAACAGAGCATTGCACAGATGGAAGCATCCCCTGGGTGGCTACCTCCACTTTGTTCACAGCAAGGAGTGAGACAGGAGCTTGGTGGGTATCAGGGAGGCAGGCAGAGAAGAGGAGGGTGTGGCACAGACCACAGCTCAGCACCAGAGCCAGCTTTGGCTTCAGACCAGCTGTAGGCAGGCCTGCCTTGGAGCCTGCACATCCCTGGCATGACTATGATGGTCCCACTGTAACGGAAGTAGCGGCAATAGAGAGACACAAAGGTTATCTCTGGGTCAGTTGTGTCAGCTGGTGGATTCTTTGGTTCCCCCAATGGAAAAGGGATCCTAGTGGGAAATGCTGGTTGGGCCAACTGCAACCTTGGGCAAATGAGCTCTTGCCTTCTGTCTTTACTTCCCCTGTCTTCTTTATCTTTTCTTAAATTTATCTATTTATTTTTTAATAGATACACAGCAATACACACACTGATTAATTTTTCATCCCATGGTTCATTCCCTAAATGTCTGTACTGGCTGGGGCTGCACCAGCCTGAAGCCAGGAGCCCTTTACTCCATCTGGGTCTCTTGTGTGGGTAGCAGACACCCCAGCACCCGCTGTTGGAGGTCTGAGGTCTGAGGTCTAGATGTGGACTTCACCAAGGACTCACTGTGTGTTCTTTGTGTGTTGATCTCCCCTGCCTGGACCTCAGGATACCCATCTGTCACATGGCCGGGTCGACCTGTAGCCCCGGCTGTGCAAACCGGCCACGATGGAGCTAGGTCTGGGGCAATGTGATTATCCAAGAGGCTTAATCACTGCGGGCGTCTGTGCTGTGTAAAAGAGGAGCTGCTTAACCCACACGAGCTTCTCATTGGCAGCCTGAGTTGAGGGAGCTCCTTCCAAATCCTCTCCTGTTCTGTGAGGTGCTCCCACTGCAACCCTAAGGGGTTACACTGGAGGGGACCCCCGGCCCCTTACCTCTTCCTCAGATGCTGCCACTGCCCGTCACAATTTTTGCCCTTCCCAGACCTGCTCCAGGCAGGGACCAAGCTGGAGACTACAAGTTCAGTCCTGGGCTTCCCAGGCCAGTGGCCAGGCAGTTTGAATTTGTGAATGTGCCCATCAGAGGAGAGCCAAGACAGAGGCAGATGGCCCAGGGTTTCCCGGCTGCGTGGCTGAGAGCCCTCTGACCTAGGACTATGATCTTCTTCTTTACCATAGAGTTATTGCTGGGCTTGCGCCACTTTGCAAGAAATGAGGAATGGGCGGAGTGCAGAAAGTGTTTTGCAAGAAATGCTGTTGTGCATGGGGAAGTGGTGATGATGGGCCTTTCTTCGGCTGCAGACACAGGAGCTGCTCCTCTGCCTGCGCCCAAGCTGACTGCTTCCCCCCGCCTGCCTGCCCCGGGGAGGGTGTGCAGTGACACAGTCGGATGCTAAATCACTCCCGAGCTGTTTTCAGGATTAGGCAGAAATGTTAATGGCAACAGATGTCGGCTTGTTCCCTCCAGGAAGATTTAGGCTGTAGCCAAGTGTTTCTCTGCTGGCCTCCGCCCAACGGGTGGCCGCCCTTTCTCTGACCTCCTGTTAAACTCGGGGAAACCCAAAGGCTCACCCTGCATCCTGAGGTTAAAGAGCCTAGCTGGGTCATCTTGGGAGGGCCTCCATAGGGCAGAGCCTGGCCAATCAGCTGATTCAAGTCTTAGGGGGAAAGGAGAAGCTACAACTACAGCCTTGCACTGTGTTTCTTTTTGTTGTTGTTGGGGAGAGGTCAGGGGACCTTGAACTGGGGTGGAAGAATTGGGTTCTAGTCTGAGTTTGAAAACCCTTCTTGTTCCTGGGTAGTCCTGCTGACTGCTTAGGGTCTTCCAGGTCTAGGATCTTAGGGAGTCAAGGAAGTGGCTAAGGAGAGGTCAACCTGAGGAATGTTCTAGAAGTTGTCAAGGTGCTTTCTAGCCTTCAACAGCAAGGTGGCCCCTTCCTGGGCAAGGGAATAAAGGCTGCACCAATCTCATTGTCTGAGCCCATGTAGTTTCCTAAAACCTGGGATGGTGGAGCCAAAGCCCCTCCAGGGAAGCAGTGGGCACCTCTGAACCTTGCTAGACAGGTGGTGACAGCAGCGGACCCCGCTGCAGGCTCAGGGCCAAGGAGCACTCACCTCTGAAGGGTGACTGGGCCTGGGTCACCAGGAAGAGCCGCTTGCCCTTGCTGTGGTGCTCCTGGCGGATGTGGTAGCCCAGCGTGTTGCAGCGGCCCTTGGTGCAGCTCAGACACATGCCCTGGCTGAAGCTGTCCATGTCGCTGCACTGGAAGGCGGTACTCTGCATTTCTGGGTGCAGCAGGGAGTCAATGAAGAGGTGCACTGAGCGCTCATGGGCGCATTTGATGGTCTGTGAGAGGGCTAGAACGCAATGCAGGAAGGGCATCAGTACACCTGTGAACCCCAAGTCACCTCTGCTCACAAGGCTCATCCCACTTCGTAGCCCAGAGAAGTACACTGCGGGGGGAAGGGAGAAAGCTAACCCGTGGGCAAGAGCAGACATAACAATTGATACAGGAAAGCTTAGAAAAGTAGACACATCTCCTCCCTCATTTAGGGTCATGGTCAAAAATAATCCCCGACCCTGCTGGGTTCCTCTTATTTATGGCATGTGGCAGCAGCTGGTTTAATGGACACCCAAACACTAGGAAGAGAACAAATTATTTAACAAAGCAAGGTTGATGGGCCTTCCACAATGGTTAATACTCCCTCCTTGAAGTGCTGTGGATTCCATATGGACACCAGTTTGTGTCTTGGCTGCTCTGCTTCCCATCCAGCTCCCTGCTTGTGGCCTGGGAAAGCAGCAGAGCATGGCCCAAAGCCTTGGGAACATGCACTCATGTGTGAGAACCAGGGGAGGGTCCTAGATCTTTGGTTTAGGTCGGCTCAGCTCTGGCCACTGTGAATACTTGGGGAGTAAACCAGTGGATGGAGGATCTTTCTTTCTGTGAATCTGCCTTTCCAATAAAAATAAATAAATAAATAAATAAGCAAAGTTGAGGATTTATTTTCACAATGTTTCTCAACTGTTTAAAACTGCAGGTGTATGCCTGAAGGGTGGCTGGGACTGGCTGGTGTGGGGTGCCTCTGTCTCTAATGAAAGTTGGAGACAAGTGGCATTACGGGGGCACCCTGATGCTGTGGCATAAGCTGTGCCTGCTTCCCGGCATCCCAAGCAGCCAGTGCAGCCCACATGCCCAGGAGGTTGGATTCAGAAATCCATACCCCAGTAACCAGGTCTTGAGAGGCCTAACCCGAAGAAAGCAAACTGAGGAGGCTAATCTACCATGAATTTTGGCCTTTACATTTTTTTTCCCCTTGAATCTTCAAGTGTTAGCCTCTATCAAATGACTCTCAGTAGCCGGCATGAGATAGGGCAAGTATGGCATAGGTAACTTTGCCAAAGGCCATTTCCCCATGTCTGGAGGTTAAACAGCAAGACTGTTTAATTGTTGTTCTGGGTCCCCTGTGCCTGCATTTATAGTGTATCAGCCATGAAGCACATGAATGCTGAGTGCCTTCCTCTCAGGGAAACAGGCACCAAGGCTGAGAAAAACCACAGCAAGGGTGGGCAGGCATAGTTGGATGCCTCATGAGACGGTCTGTGTGGAGCTGTGTGAGAGTGTAGGAGTGGGGTGAGGGATGGACAATGAGCGGGAACTGCCTGTGGTCTTAGGGGCAGTGACCCCGGGGAAGTGTGTGTGAGTGTGAGTGTGTGTGTGTGTGTGTGTGTGTAAGAAGTAAAGAGTGATAAGGGGGAAGTTCCCAGAAAGCTGTGTCAGGCGTGGGTGGGTGGAAGCTGGGAATGCAGCCAGCATGAGACGCAGTGTGCGTGAAGGTCATCCCGAGATCATGGGTGAAGTGAGGTTGATGACGTCATCGCAAGCTGGAAGGTGGGATGTGAGTGTGTGTTGGTGAGAGGAGGTGGCTTCCGGTGGGCTGTGACAGCTTCACTGTGTTTCAGTGGAGTCGGCATTTTCCAGCTGAGTATTGCCGAGGCAGCAGGGCTGTGGGATGGGCGTTTTCTGTGGATGTTTATGTTCTTCAATCCTGAGTGTGTTATCAATATGTGTGTTCGTGCTATGGGTGAGAGAAGTGGGCTCACAAGCCAGAAAATGTGATGTGTGGTCTCTGCCCTGAGCCAAAAGGAGGTGCCAAGGGTACACATGGCATGGGACTTCACCCTGGGAGACTGGTCAAACAGACCTAAGGAATTCTCTCTACTCTTCGGCGGGGGGAGGGGGGTGGGGGGGACCAGCGACGAAGAGGCCATGACCCCACATGGGGTAGATCTCCATGCGGCTCCCTCTGAATGCCTGGCAGGACTGGGGCATCACTGGGGAATTTCTGCCTGGGTACAGTGTGGGATTTGGATGATGCCCCCCCTCGCGACATGGTCTCCAAGGACTGCTGCCTATTATAGGAGCCACCTAACAGCGGCCTTCTCCATCTCCACTCTCAGTGTGGACTCAGTGAGCAGGTGCCCCAGGCCCCACCCTTGCTGAACTCAGCCCAGGCCTAGCGGACCCCCTGAAGCCCCACTCCTTCCTTCTCACCATTTAAACCATACTGGGCAATGTGTCTGTATAGCTCCAGGAAGTGGCAGCCGGGCTGGAAGGAGCCCCCATTGGGGTAGAAGTCATAGTGTCCTATGGGCTGTTTGATGCCCACACTCAGGCCCATGTGCTCTCGGGTGAAGGTGTGAATAGCATCCACAAAGTTGGCATCGTCTGGAGAAAGACGGTCGCTGGGGGATGTTCCTTCGAACAGCGGGCCTGCAGCATCCAGCCCTAAACAGAAAGCAAGTTCAGGGGTGGGTGGGAGCTAGGGAAGAGGGAAGAGAAATGGGGCCTTTTGGCTCTCTGATATCATACACTCATGTGTAACAGGAAGAAAAGGAACCCAGAGCATGGATTTTTTTTTCCTAACAAACCTCATCCTGACCTTTCACAGTGAAAACCACTGTAATTTATGGTGCTGAAGAATCACACCTAGGCTGGGCATTGTTTAGTGGGGAAGAACAAAAGCTATCCAAAGGTAGAAATAAGGTTTTGAGGGAATGTATGATTCATCTAAACAAATCAGTGGTAACTACCTCTAAAGCGACTTTGGAGAGCATCTGTTTGTATTTTAAAAAAGAAAAAGAAAAACAACCCCCCTCAAAAAACCTATGTGCTAATTATATGTAGTTCTTGCCTATCCATCAAAGAATCTATTTGCCTGCATATTGTCAATAATTTCCCCAAACAAGCCGGATTGTCTCCTACACTAGTGTCATTTCATTGCTAGTAAATGTCCAAAACATCATTGTTTCAGGATGAAAATAGGAGCCAATAAGGCTGCTGCAGCATCTTGTCCTCTAGGAAAACATGTGCTTGCATGAGGCAATAGGCTGCTCCTGGCTGGCTGTCGCTGGGGAGTGCTTATGCAATGAAGATTCTTTCCAGTGGTGTGTGTGGCACACAGAGGGTTAAGCTGCTGCTTGCAATGCCGGTATCTCATGTAGGAGCGCTGATTTTGAGTCCCAACTACTCAGCTTCCTCATTAGCTCCCTGTGAATGCATTTTGGAAGCAATAGATGATGGCTCAAGTGCATGGATTCCTGCCATGCACTTGGGAGACCCAAATGGAGTTCCTGGCTCCTGGCTTTGGCTTTGGCCATTTTGGCCATTTGAAGAAATGAGCCAGCAGAGGGAAGAACTCTCTATCACTCTGCCTTTCAAATCCTTGCTTTTGAAGGTGTCTTCCCAGTCTGTTTCTTTTTGTGCCTTCTCTGGAAGTGGCCCTCATTTCTGTCTCTCTTTGGGTGAAGGACTGGAGCCCGAGTGGGAGAGGCCCTGTTCTCTAGTGTTTCCCCCAGTGGCAAATGGAAGAGGTCTGGGGGTGACACCTACTCCATTCTCCATCAGGCTAACAATGCAGCAGGGAGCTCCTTTGCTGCTCCTGACCTCTGTGGGCCCCATGTGACCCACACCGCCAGCCCCACCTACAAGGGCTGGGGGCTTCAAGCCTGAAGCTGCCTCCCTATGCTTCCTGCTCAGTCTCTGGCCCTGCGTCCACAGCGGTAGACTCTCCAAGTTCTCTGGAACGGTCTTGGTGAAGCTGAGGAGGGCTACAGCAGTTGGGGCTCATGGCTGGGGTATGGACCAGGCCTCTCTAGTCACCAGCAAGATGGAGAAATGAATGAGGAAATGAGTGCTCATCGCGATCTGTTGTTTTCTCTAGTGCTTGTCATAGTAAAAATAAATCTCTTTTGAAGGAATGGTAATGGTAGATGGTAGTTTTTAAAATAATTTAGTTAACTTACCTGTAAGACAGAGAGACACCCATATCTACCAACCCATGGAAAGAGTGAGAGTGAGATCGGGGGAAGGGGGGTGGAGGGAGAGAGAGAGAGAGAGAGAGAGAGAGAGAGAGAGAGATTCAGGCTGCTACTTCACTCCCCAGTTGTTGCAACGGCAGTGTGGAGACGGGACTGAAGTCAGGGATGCCTGGAAGGCATGGCGTTGCTCGTGTCCAGCTCTTCTGAGTATTTGGGGTCATGTCCAACTGAGTGTGACGTTTGGGGTGTGGGTTTTTGGTGCAGGGCTCCTTTTGGTGACCCCTAGTGGGTCCCAGAGTAAAACTCAGGTGTTTCACAAGTGTGGAAACCGAGGCACCCATGCAGCTGATGTGTTACAGCAGACTAAGGCTGTGATTCTGCACACCCTAATTCCCCCACGTTGGGCTCTGCCAACTGCAGATCACAAAAGAAGTCTCACTGCGAGTGGGTGTTTTGCCTAGTGATTGAGACGCCTGCATTCCACATCAGAGTGTGTGAGCTTGACTCCTGGCCCCTACTCATCCCAGCTTCCTGTCGGCATGGACCCGGGGACACAGCAGGTCCCTTCTACCCATGTGGGAAACCTAGATTGTACTACCAGGGGTTGGCTTTGGTCCTGGCCCTTGTGGGCATTTGGGAAGGCAACCAACAATCAGATCCCTAGGTAGATAAAGAGACTCTTGCTACAAAAACATCCAGAAGGGTTAGTTTTTAGTCCCCTTTGACACATCTACAACAGCCCTTTGTTCCACTAATGGCAATAGAAATTGGGGCTATAATTTGATCTGAATTCTCTTGGAACAGCAATCCCTGATGGTGGTTGTGCTTGAGGGAGTGTTCCAAGACTACCCATAAACTCTAATAAAATCTGAAAGAAACCAGAGCATTTAATAATGAAACTGTTGGAGACACAGATCCTTGCTGGCTGGGCCCATGCAGTCATGGTAATGACAGGATGTCCACTGTCAGCCACGGTTACCTGTAATTCTTCCAATCTTGTCCTTCCCCCTGATGTAGCTGCCAGCAAATCCGGAGACATGAGCACCCAGGCTGTACCCAATTAGATGAACATTGCTTCGAGAAAACAGAGCTGATTCCTGCAAGACAGCAGTGGGGACGAAAGCCTTCGTGGGTCTTGCTTGCTGTGTATGCCCCCACCCTGTTCTTTGTGCTGGCTTGTGAACAAGGGGCTTTGTTTCTGTTCTAAGCTGTGAGCTGGTTCGCCTCTCTGATCCTGTCCTCTCAGAGGCACCGGCCTTCCTCTGGGGCTCAGCTACCTGGGACCCTGCTCTGCAGCCCCTGCCTCCTGCCTGCTTGCCTTCCCCTGGGCATCAGTGCCCTATCCAGAGATCCTTTCATGTGAGTGTGTGTGTTTAGATTCTTTAGCATGCTCAAGGTGGTGGACGTAGAAGGGCAATGGGAGAAGACGGTTCTACAACGCGAACGTCCAGGGGAGGCATCTGAGAGAGCTTGGCATTGGGGCTGCCATGGTCTCGGTGATGAGTTTGAGCATCCCTCAGAAGTCTGTGTGTTAAAGCACTGGTCCTGAGTCAGGTGCTACTGGGGGATGGTGGAAACATGAGGAAGTGTTACCTAGCAGGGGAGGTCCTTACATGACTGGGGACAGAGCCCTTGGGAAGTGGTTCCCGTGCCACCTCACAAGCTTCCTGTGGCCTCACAGGTTATTGCTGCTATCAGAGGTGATTTCTGTGCCAGGCAGGTGTGCTCTGTTTTTGCTGACTCCGCAGAAGCCCCTTCCTCCACATGGCCTCTTGCCGCTGCCATCTCCTTCCCCCTTCCCACCTTGAGGCCATGTCAGCCGGGCTGCCTGATCTGCGACTTGATCCAAACTGTGAATTAAGTCAATTTTTTCTTGTTACCAGGTTAGTTGCCTCAAGGTATTTCTGTAAAGCTATAAAGGTATTTCTGTTCGATGATTCTCATTGTCAGAGACCACTATAAGAGGAAGAATTCACTTCCTTTTAGAGGAGGCCAGGGGAGGAAACAAGAGGGGACATCTTACCTCCAGCCACTGGAGAAGTGCCGCCACCTCCTGGCCCACCAGGCGGGCATTGCGGACGGCAGTGGCGTAGTGGGTGTGAGCCAGGGAGATCCAGTTGGCCAGCCCCACGTTCACTGGCTGGGCCAGCTCAGATTTCAGCGCTGCTGTCAACTGCCAGACCCAGCTTTCCAGCTTGCCATCGACCTGAGGGTGAGTCACAGGTGGTCAGTCCCACCAAAAGGGAGGGCTGTGTTAGTCTCTCTCTATTCACTCACCCCCACGCACCAATTCTTGGACGATGTTGACTCCTCCCAAAAAGAAAGGAGTTCCTCACCCAGGCACTATTGACATTGGGGGGCAGAACATTGTGGCAGTAGGTTAACAGCAATCCTGTACTTGGGTTAACAGCAATCCTGGATCCTCCAACTCCATGCTAGCCCCACCACCTCAGAGTCTGAGAAATCCCGGATGTCCCTGAGCATTGATGATTGGTGCCTCCTTAAGGGTCATTGTCTGAACTTTCCCCTTCTTTGAGACTGCTATTTCTGAACGCAGTGGATCCTGAGAGCTGACTTGTCCTTTGAGTGGGTTCTTGGAACAAGGACTTCTGTGCTGTATCCTGAAAGATGAGCAAGAATTTGGCTGGAAGAATAAGGTTAGGCAGGATAGTGTTGGCATGGTGGTTCTAGGGTGTTCCACGGGGAAGGAATAGCATGTGCACAGGTGCAGTGTCACCAGAGAGCTGTGTCTTGCATCTGGAGGGAGAGTTGGGGGAGCAGCTGGCTGTGTTGAAGGCTGGATCGGAGCAGGTGAAGCAGGAGAGCACGACTGGTGGCTGGGCCTGTCATTCCAGGTGAGAGGCTGTCCCTGAGCCAGGCTTGAATGAGTACCTTTTCTGTGCATGCAGTACCTTGGGTTCAGATTCAGGTTCTCCCTTATCAGCTGAGTGACCTTGAGTAAGCTCTTTAACATCCGTGCTTTACTGTTTTTATGTGGATAATAATACCCTCTTCCAGCATTGTTGTGAAGAAGGAATAAGCGGATGGATAGAAGGCATCAGAATGGCCTGGCACACAGCAAGGACCCAGCTGCTGTTGCTGCTGGTGGAAGTAGAAGTACTGCTAGTAATGACAGCAGTGATAATAGCAGTACATGTGGCTATGCTGGAAAGGACCTTGAGGAGGAAGAGTGCATTTGGGTCAAGAACTTTACTGTCTTCCTATTGCATTTGTAAACAAGATTTGCTCTTTTGTTACAGAGTTAGCAAACACTTTGGAGCAACTGGTATATTATGAATGCCGTCCCATGATGGTCAATCAAAGGAGAATAGTCCAGAAGTTTTTCTTGTAAGGAGCTCACAGCCTGGCAGGCAGATAGCAACCATTCCCAGCAGGAGAGCAGCTGTCAGAGGGCTGGGGGCCAGGGCAACACTGGGGCATCCACTGTCCTGGGAGGGGGCTGGACTGTGGCAGCCAAGGTCTGTAGGAGGACATCCTGGGACTGGGACAGGAAACGGGGGAGTTACTCAGAAGATGAGGAGATGTTTTAGGTGAAGAGCTCATCTGAGTGAAGGCCAAGAGGAGAGAAAGCTGGTGGTATGTGAGAGAATGAGTGTTTTTGGAAACTGACGTGGGAGGCATGGAGGTGGTGCTGGGTAGCAAGAAACAGGTGAGGGGAGCAGGGAAGGGTGAGGGGACAGGATGGGTGGACAGGATGGATGGACAGGATCAGTTGCTCTCTAGGGAGGATAAGTGGGGGTTTCCACAATGCTTTTTACCTAGATGTCAGACAAGGGTTGTCAAGTCACAAAATAAATGCTGAGCTCTCAAGCGGGGGTTCCAGAGGTGACTACCCTTCACGTGTAGGGTGGGGCGGAAACCAGGAAGCTAGAATATCCTCTGGGAAAACAGTCCAGACACAGTCTCATTTCATTCTCTGCTTGCAGGGTCCTTCCTTTCCTCCTCCTGCAGTGGTGGAATTGGGAGCAGCCCCAGAAGACCACACACTTGCTCTAGGAGGCCACACCTCCCAGCCACCTTTCCACGTAAGCATGGGTAGTGTAGGTCACTGGAAACATTTCATAAATGATCTGGGAAGCCAATTTGAAAAAAATATTTTTAGCCTCAAAACTATAGAATTGTATACTTGAAGTAGGTAAATAGGTTACATGAATTGTATTTCAATAAGCTTCTTTTCAAAACCTTGCTTTTTGACCTTTTGTGTGCATCCCTCACTACACTGAATTGCCTGGGTTGAGTGTGGCCAGCTGGCATGTTAGCTGCCATCTTGGGCTGTGAGAATGAGTCGTCCTCTCCCCATCCTCCCAAGATGGAAGAGCATTGAGCTGGCAGGAGCTGGGGCCTTGGTCCAGCTAGTTTGGGATTCCTTATTTCTGGGTTAGCATGTGCAATGGAAATGAAGCTCTATTTTACTTTTCACCACCACTAATCTGGGGTTCTGCTTTGTTTGCAGCTAAATTTAATCCTTCCCAATATAACATGTCACAAGGAACCCATGTCTACTGGCTTTCTACCTCCTCTTGTGAAACATACAGATTGAGGTAGGTACCCCCTTCCTGCCTGGACTGCAGGACTGAACCCTGTTTGAGCAACATTTAATGAGAAACGTAGCATTGATTATTTTCCTTGCCTTGGGTACATGTGGAATTGAAGTAACCACTGAGATCATGTGTGGGAGAGCACGTGCAAAGCTCAAATTTGCTTTTTTTTTTTATAATTTGCTTTTTTTTTTAAAGCTCTATTTTTATTATTTTTTTATTGGAAAGGCAGATATACACAGAGGAGAGACAGAGAGGAAGGTATTCCGTCCAATGATTCACTCCCCAAGTGAGCGCAACGGGTCGATGCTATGCCGATCCGAAGCCAGGAGCCTCTTCCGGGTCTCCCACGCGGGTGCAGGGTCCCAAAGCCTTGGGCCGTCCTCGACTGCTTTCCCGGGCCACAGGCAGGGAGCTGGAAGGGAAGCGGGGCTGCCGGGATAGAACCGGTACCCATATGGGATCCCGGGAGTGCAAGGCGAGGACCTTAACCACTGTGCCACCGCGCCGGGCCCTCAAATTTGCTTTTGTACACATGATACATGACAGTGTTATCACCAACTCCCTATCTTTCTGATCAGATTGTACATACTGAGATGAGAGGAAAAAAAAAAAAAGAACGAAAGAAACAGTGAAAGCAGAGAGGAAGACAAGTCAGTACTACTCACCGACCACCCGTGGATGATCATCACCAAAGGCAGGGATGCGTTGAAGCCGCACTCCTGGAGCGTGTCTGGGCGATGGAGCTGAATCTCACAGCCCTGATTGGCTTTGTCTTTGAAGAGCAGGAACTTGGTTTTTGTCTCCTGCAGTGTTTTTTTCATGCCCGTAACTCGAAATTTTCTTCCGAATGGCTCTGGAATAGAAGAAGGTTGGGAATGGCGCTTAGCCTGGCTTGTCTTCCACTTTGGCCGGACCTGGAGGGCCCCAAGGCAGCCTTATCAGCTGCGACTTTGGGATCCCCAGGGAGCGTTTCTGGTCCCGGCTATGGAGGGTGTCCTGGGAAGACATGTCACAGGGGCCATGGGGTGCAGTCTTCCCTTCCTTCCTCCCTCCTTTTTCTTTTCCTCTCTCCTTCCTGCCATTCCCATGACAGCACAACAACCACAGGGTGTGAGGATTGTAGGAGATGCCATTAGGAGGCTGGGAGAGGGTTAAATCCTCACCTTGACCCCATTGCAGTAAGTAGGAGAGTCAGAATTTGAACCCAGGTCCCTGTGACTTGGTTTTTTTTTTTTTTTTTTTGAACTCTGACTCCCTGTGCTGGGGAAAGTGAATCAGATGATGCTGGGTGTTAATTCATGCGACTCAACCTGTACTCATTTGCAGATACTTTCTATCACATAGCTCTTGCCTGGCAAGGTCCGGGATGGGGAGATTACAGAGGGATGATGGATTCTGTTTGGTCAGGGGGGATACGCCATTCAGGCAGGTCTTTTCTTGGAGCATAATGCTGATCTTGGCCTTGAAGGGTGAGGGAGGCATAAGTGTGTGTGTGTGTGTGTGTGTGTGTGTGTGTGTGTATTTGTGGGGTGGGACTGTCTGAAGTGACAGAAGAACATGAGGGCAGGTGCAGAGGTGTGTAAACTTGTGTCATAGGAGACAAAGCTGGGCAGGGCTGGAGTGAGAATCCTTCATACTGAGGAGCCTGGACTGGCTGCTGTGGGTAACAGGGCCCCTGCTCTGGAGGCTTTCAGGAAAAAAAAAGCGGAGTGGGGAGCGGGAGAGTGTCAGCTGAGTCTTTTAAGACCATGGCGGCGGGGAGGGGGCGGGAAAGAAAGACGACTCTTAAGATTTCACCCTTGTTGTTTTGCTGACAGTCCTCATAGCCCCTCTTTTTGGGAAGTGTTATCCATCTCTTGAAGGCATTCCAACAGCTGCTAAGTCCAAGAGCCACACCAAAGGGTTACACCTTGGCTCAGAAGTGGGTGACATCTGCTGAGGCACCCTTCTCCTATGCGGTGACACCTGGAGTTGGGTGCCATCTCTTTGTGAAGTTTGTCATCAGGCAGAGAGCTGGAGAAGGAAGCTCTGACCCTCCCTTCTGTCAGAAGGCAGTTCACCGTGGCTGAGGGGGCAGGCACAAAGCCACACTGACATTTGTGGTCGGTACACTCAGTTCAGCCCAATGACTCAGAGCCTTGGTCATCCCTATTGGGCACCCAACCTTTCAGGCGTTTCTAGTAGTTAGTCTTGGGCTGATGGTTTCAGGCGACAGCAGCATTGAGAGATGATTAATCCAGTTCCCTGTCCAAAGACTATTAATTCAAATGGTTATTAATGCCCAGCAAAGGGCAACAACTTCACTGCAATGGCACAATTAAATACATCATACTTTATTAAAAGGTGATATCAGTGTGAATCTGAGGAACCGCGTTGAGATAATGAAGAGAATTTCTACTGCACAGCGGGGGGCTTCCCTAAGTTTCTAGATTGTGTCCGTTTTTTCTCACTTCGTGCAAGCTTTAAGCTCACTGGCTGCCTTGTTGTATGGAGGTGTGCCCCTCCTGGCTGCTTCCGTCAGCAGCTGGGCTGACAACTCCATCTCAGTCCCCAATCAGGTTAAAACTTCAGGATTCCCTTACCTCCTCCTGCTCTGCATTCTCTAGTTAAAAGTGGCTCCCAAATAGCCAAGTTGCTCCCCTACCTCTGTCTGCTGCTTCAAAGTGAACTCTGATCCATCCCTCCAGGAAGGCTTCTCATCCAGCCAGAGATAATGATGCCTTCTTGGTGTAGCCCTGATTCTAATGACTTGTCTTGCCACCTGGTCGTTTAGTTGTTGAGCTGTGGGTTCCTTCCCAGGCTCAGTGATTACGGAGGGCGAGGGCAGTGTAGGGCTCGTGGCAGAAGCTCAGGGGATGCTTGATGTGCAGCGCATGGTGTTCTCTAGGGCCGGTCTCCGTAGCAAAGGCTGATTGCCCATCATTGACACCTGCACCTAAGATAACCAGTTCTCCTTTTTCAGTGACTGAGGAGCTACACATTTCATCGCAAGATAGCTGCCTTGAATGCCGTGTGCAGGCAGCCTGTAAAAGAGAATAGCGTGTTTTGATAAAGAAGAGCAGGATGGACTGTGTTTGGAATCTCGAGTTCACACACTTGCTAGTGCCAGAGACTGAGGTCACACTCTGAGGATAATGGTCCACGAGTGGGCAAAAGTCCAAGGCCAAGATTGAGGCCTGTGGATGAGGGTCTGCAGTTGGGCAATGGTCCAAGGCCACAGGACTGTGTGTTTTGGAATATCCTTGGCTTTGCACATGGATTACACTGTTACTTCCTGACCGTTGAGCAATGGTTGGTTAACATCAACATGGGATGTAGCTGTCAATGTCTGTGCCACATCAACTCCTTTAATTTGAATTCCCAAGCAGTTCAGTAAAGGATTGAGGCAACAAGCCCTCTACGTCAACCTGCTGCCTCAGAGAAGCTGCCCGCTTTCATAGTTTTTATCTTGTGTCTGTCTAGTTTTTTATTTTCTCAATTATTCATCACCCCTTCTCCAACCATATTCATGCCATGCTGGTTGTGTTGTACTGAGAGAATCCTAGGAAAGTAAAATGGCAGTAAAAATAGTACCCATCCCATGAGGTTGTTATGAGAACTGAACATTTGTAGAGAGCGGAGGAACAATGCCTGGCACGTAATTAACACCTCTATAAGGGTGTGTTGGGAAAACAAGCCCTGATTAGAGCAGCCTGCATCCTGCATTTTTGATCTGTGAAATTTTATTCTTTGTGTGGAATTTTACCCCAGTTGCCCTCACAGGACCCATTCTGGGCTGTGTGTATTTGCTCTGGATTTAGGTGCAGGAAGAAGCCCAGTCGGGTGCCTGCAATGTCCAGGCTGTGCAGAGGAGACCATGGGAAAGAATGGTCAGATGGAAAGGCCAGCCCTAACCACGACGAAAGGGGCTCACTTTCCCCTTCCTCCTTTTTGGAGGTTCTCTTTAACATGCATATGAAAGAGGAAGTCATATCATTATGAAGATATTTCAAAAAGTTTGTGATAAAAAGGTATTAAAAGAAGAGTTTTATCTCAGTGCATCAATGTTGAAATTTATGCATAGTGTTTTCATTAGATGCATTTCCATGTTCACCTGTTTGTTGTTTATTTACTTGAGAAACACACTAGAGTGATACACACTCTGAGAGAATGAGAGCTTTAATTTGTTGGTTTACTCCCAAATGCAGTGGCAAGGCTGGATCAAGAGGCAGGTGTGCCATCCAGGTCTCCCATGTGGGTGACAGGAACCTGACTGCAGGCATCGCTGTTCCTCTCAGGCTCTGCATTGGTTGGGAGAGTGAAGGGGTGATGAAAAGTGAGAGCTGTTGAGTTGGGACCCAGACGCTTTGATCTTAGACACAGGTGTCTTCACTGCTAGGCTAAATGCATGCTCCCAAGAACTTTCCGAAGACCCTCCTTTGCATGCATGGAATTCAAAAGGTTTGACACCAAAATAAACTTTGTTTTTAACTTTGTTTTTATATGGGCTTTTGGACATATCCTAACCATTAAATATGTAGTCATGCGTTCACTTCAGTAAACTCTTACTAGTGATTTATCATGTCCCAGGTCCTGGCTAGGTACTTGTTAGAGGTAGATAGGGCCTGTCCTCTGTCTTTTAGGGGTTCCCAGGCCAACAGGGGAAACAGACATGAAAAATAGCACTGAAAGTGGTGGCTGTAAGTGTTGTAGCTGAGGGAAGCCCTGAGCAAGGGAAGATGCCAAGAGAAGATGCAATATCATCTGAGGCTAAAATGATGAAAGATTCTTCTTCCTTCTATTTCAATCTATGAGAAATTCTTGAAGAAAATAGACTCTGGTGTCTAACATATAAGGTTTAGTGAAAGACTTATGAGTTAAAGGGCTATTGTGGAGAACAGGGAGTAGAATTATTCTGTGCATAACTTGGAATAAAATTTTTGACTTTAATGAATTCACAGAAATTCATGGTTAAAGAAATAGAGGCAAAGACCAACTAAAGGTAACAACAAAGGCAAACATGTTAGTGTTAACACCCTGTATGCTGCTCATAATGGGATATGCTGAGTCTGTGAAAGCTGGGCCACAGATTGTGTTCTGAGCTTCCCGTTGGGCAAATCAGAGAGGAAAGCAGGAGCAGGAAGAGGATTCATGGGATCCAGGTGCTCTCTGTTCCCTGCCTCATCCTGAAACGTGAGGGGGTTCTCCTTTGTGTTACTGGTAAAAGAGGTCACTGGTGAGGCTGGGGCACCATTTGAAACGGAAGGAGGGGGAGAAAGAGAGGACTCCCATCTGCTGCTTCACTTCCCCAGGGCCCACAATGGCCAAGGCTGAGCTGGCCTGGAGCCCAGAGCTAGGAATGCGACCCAGGTTCCCCACATGGGTGGCAGTAGGCCAGTTACCTGAACTATCACTGCTGCCTCTAAAGGTCAACCTCACAGAAGCCAGAGCTGGGAGTCAAATGCAGGTGCTCCAATGTGTGTTGTGGGTCTTAACCAGCAGACTAAACATCCAGCCCAGTGGCAAGTTTCTGTGGCTGGCTCCGGAGCTCCGTGGTCCTCAAGCAAAGCAACAGCCACATTGCCAAACAGCACTTAGGTCATGTTGTGTCTCTGCCAGCGGAGGGGGCTTTTTTTTTTTTTAAGATTTATTTATTTTTATTGGAAAGGCGGATATACACAGAGGAGAGACAGAGAGGAAGATCTTCCGTCCAATGATTCACTCCCCATGTGAGCGCAACGGGCCGATACTATGCCGATCGGAGGCCAGGAGCCTCTTCCGGGTCTCCCACGCGGGTGCAGGTTCCCAAAGCTTTGGGCCGTCCTCGACTGCTTTCCCGGGCCACAGGCAAGGAGCTGGAAGGGAAGAGGGGCT